TTTAAATTGTGTTGGAAATTTTATAAGTTGAAAGCAAAGGCAATAACTTGTGCAATCATTTATAAAACACTATAGATCCCTACAATTCTCCCACACATATACACAAGTTTTAAAATTTTTGCTGTAATATATCGATGGTGAGACAATGATCTTTTATGCACTGTGACATTGGAAAGACTATAATAACTATTGAATAAAATACAGAGCTGGTTATTTGGTGTTAATAGGATTCTACTTTTGTGAAACATGCTGCAAGATTTAGAATAGGCTACAAAGAAAGACAGATTGACACAAATTGGATTTAGCTACCAGTTACATATGAATTTATGGGAACAATAAAACAGGTTAAGTTATCTTGACAGGTTTAGAGGACTGAAACAAGGGAGATCCAAGGCAAAAGCTATATAAAACACAAATTTAGAAGCACAAAGATCACAAACAACAAAGGAAAAAATGGGAACTTGGTTAAGAAAATTTGCAATCATTTAGGGGAGAGCATTTTTCTAATAGACATGTGAATGTGAAATTTCCCAAATTTATGTTTCAGGAAAATTAATATTTTACATACTGTAAACTTGACATACATTTTTACATAAAGAAATTAGTACATCCCAAGTACATCTCATTAATATTAATTTCACTTTTTTGTTCATTCTTAATTGACTGATCATATAATTATATCTGATAATAATTTATTATTATTATCACGTATGATTTTTCCATCATCTTGACAAAACTGTATTCTTCCAAACTAAATTCTTATAGAAATTGAAGGATTAACAAAATAGTTTTAAAAGGAGGAATATTAATTAAAGTAAAACTGTGCTCTTGTTGGTGTATACAACTTATTTTACCTAAAGAGAAAGATATATGCTGCTGTTGTTGTTGTTTTCTTTTGTAGATGCAGAACCTGAAGACCGAAGTAAATGTGTAACACACATAACTACTTGTTTTCAGAAATAGGTTTCAAATCCAGTTTGCTCTTCTCACAAATTTTATAATTTTTCCATTAGACCATTTGTCCCACCCCCTTTTTAAACCTATAGTTGTTCTCAGAAAAGTAAATTAGAAATATACATTTGCTGGTAAGAAAATCAATCATTTTAAAATATCAAAGACACAAGCATAATAAGAATTCCAAAATTCCTGGTGGGCTGACCATGACAACTGACTTAAGAGGGCAGGGAGTTCACACCCACAGTAATGGAGGAGCCACTAGTTAAATTTTATGAGTTTTTTTCAAATCAAAATTTCTAGCAGAGAAATGAGATGAGATTGTCAGTGTACTTGGAATTTAATTTATTATGAGTGATGCCTGCTGAATATACATTCAGGAGTTAAAATCAGATGATACATAAAGCCACCAGACAGAATAAGTCAGAGTTGTTGCCTGAGCCACATTTAACTCCATTTAAAATTTCTTATTTATTCTATCGTCTATATAGTACACGATTTACATGAATGACATATGAATTCTCTAAGTAGGTATCATTATTCTGTTATAGGGATAGGGCCTCCCAGGAAAATGAGGCAATACTAAGATTCTTCCTTCAAACCCTGATTCTTTTGGGATCAAATCAGGAATATTTCAGCCATGTTGAAAAGGGAAAAGGGGACATACTCAAGGGAGAGAGTGGATCCTCTCAGAGAGGAGAGGGATAATGTGCCTCAGCTGCATCCCAGTTTTATTTGGGATCCCAGAAAAGTTTCCTGAATCTCATGCAGGTTCACCTCTTGACTTGACTGTCAGAAAAGTGACATCAGACTTCCAAATCCCTAGGACATGATAATTCTAGGTCACATTGGCCCATGATGAGTCATTTTTAACTATAAATTCATATGTAATTAAGAGGAATTATCTTCATCTCTCTAAGTTTTGGTGTCTGGTCTATGTAAAGGGTTACAAAAGTCTTCCCCTTTGGGCCTGCATTTCTCCTGCAGATAACAGGTTGATTGCTGAGTAAAGTGACATAGTTTATCCACTTAAGACTGGCAGGGCTTCAGATAAATTGCTTCTTGGAACAGAAAACATGTAGGGGTCAGTCAGCACGGTGTGCTCATTTTTATAGAATTATTCCCTTAACCTCATGTTCTATTCCCACCACTCACACCTGTCTATACCCTATAAGTTCTTTACAGGTTATGAATTAGGGACTTGGGGATTTAAGTAAATATTCACATAGTCCCTTTAAATGTTGTTGGGGATTACACCCAAATATGTCTCATTTTTAAACTTATTACCAGTCTACTCCTAAA